GGAAGGAAGGAAGGAAGGAAGGAAGGAAGGAAGGAAGGAAGGAAGGAGCTATTTTAACATTTGATTTTCACAATAAATTATTCTGATAACTAAAAAGGTTGCTACAATCTAAAAAAGTTGGATTCAATAAAGAAAACTTAACCTACTTCATCATCTGCAGCAACATAAAAGGATATACTTTTACTACCAACGTTAAAGTCAATCCAACATTCTTCAAGGTTTTCATCTGCTGGCATCTGTAGCTATAATAGAATCAGATTTTTAAAAAAGAACCATTATAAATCTTTTATAGCATTTTGTAATGTTCTCATTGTAATAATTATGGGTTATCATGCCAAGGGTAAGTTGATCATAGTGTATTCACTCTTCTTGTAGAACAGCTTCAGTGCTTTATTTTAGTATTTAAACTTCAGTTTTATGTTTGAAAATAGGAGCTGTGATTTAACACTGGTTTCAAACTCAAGTTAAAGCACAAGGCCAGAACATAAAGCATAAAGCAAAGGCACAAAGGCCAGGATTTAAAAGGAGGTGAGAAAGGATATGAAGTTAATTGCCATTCTCAGTTTAGCTAAGTAGCTAATTTCTATCCTAAAATAGGTTATGTCTGAACAGGCCCTCTATGTTGTGCTGATGTCTGCATTCAAATGACTAGTTCTAATATTAGTTTAATAACATTCTGTTCCCATTTCTAAATCAAAACTCTTTGAATTATTACCAGTCAGATGCAAAATTCCTGAATTCAAATAAAGCATCACGAAGTTTCATATAATATATTGTGAAATATAGTCAAAAGAAAAGAACTAACCTCATGTTTACCAAGGGCAGCTGATAAACAAGGATAGGTAAATACCCTGTAAAACAGTACAGTGTTTTCATAATAAAAGCAATTTAATCACTTCATTCTTCATCTCTACTCAGAAAAATAGAACTCCCATTTCCATCCACCCTTTTCTTTGGGGAAAAAAGTTAAAACATATACTACTGATAAAATCACCCAAGATTTTCCCTCCATAAGATATCTGGAATACTACTTATTATGTAATTGGTTTTATCCAAGCCTTTGCCATACAATAGGACAGACCCTCAAAATACTAATGAGATAAAATTTAACTGGATGTACTAATTGTTTCATTAACAGCTAATGCTACATCTGGATTGCTGATGTTGGCAAACATGAATAAAAATGCCAAAGAATGACTCATTTTTTTAACTTATGAAAAGCCGTGTCTATTTAGGGTGTATATTCTGTCATTAGAAATCTGTATTTGGTTAATGTTATGCATACCTTCTTTTGTCTCCAAGCATGGCATTAACTTGGTTAAGGAACTTCCTGCAGTCCTGTTTAAAGAGAAAAATAGTATAAGCCCTTTGACAATTTTCCTATTTTGAAAGAACCAGTATTTGAATTTGACTTACTGTTTCAAACTCAGAATCTTTAATTTGTTTAAATGCACTGCTGACAAAATCCATTGGAAACCACTGGATTGCCAGCTCTCTTCTTTGTTTTTCTGACGTCATTCTGCATAATGCTTCAGTAATGGCAACTTGGAGATCATAGTCTATAATATATATGGCAGGAGCATTACCATAAAACATTTTGATAGTAAGTAAATATTACTGCCTGAAAATTAACCACATATACACATTCACAAACAATACATATAATTCGTTGCATATATCTAAAGTACTCAATGTAGTATTCATAGGAATGAATATATTTGTGGACACGTTTCTTAGCACCCATAAGAATCTCTACCATTCTATTTGAATTTTTTAAACATTCTTTTGCATCTAACAAAATGGGAAGCTAGCTTATAGGCCAGTACCACCTGCATTTTCAAGGCTCCTTCAGGATCTACATAAAAATGGTGGCTGGCTATTCTTCAGTTCCTTATTTGAAAATATCCTTAGAAAAGCTATTTTATGAAATGGTCCGCCATCTGCTCTTAAAATTCCAAACACAATCACTAGCTTAAAACACAATTTCTTTCAACACTCTGACTTAACTTGAAGTTAGGTGCTGCATTTAAATACTATGTACTGTAGTCAAAACAAAGCAGTTATAGAACAGAATTGACATGTCAGGGAAAAACAAATAAGTAAACCAACAAACTGAGAATAGCAATAACATTATTTAGACTTATATACTGCTTCACAGAGCTTTACAGCTCTTTCTAAGCAGTTTACAGAGTCAGTCTATTGCCCCCCAACAATCTGGGTCCTCATTTTACCAACCTCGGAAGGATGGAAGGCTGAGTCAACCTTGAGCCTGGTGAGATTCAAACTGCCAAATTGCAGGCAGCCAGCAATCAGCAGAAGTAGCCTACAGAACTTTATTCTAACCACTGCACCACCACAGCTCACGCTGATGTATTAATGATTGGGTGGAATATAATGAGCGAAATAATGTCTCTACTGGCCCTATGAAAAGATTGTTTTATGTATGGCGTGGAAGCTATAGAAAACCTGTAAAATAAAACTTAGATTTAAACAGCTCTGAATAACATTAATACATATGTTGAAATCATAATCTGTGCTTACCCCCAGCATCCAAAATTCTTTTCCCCATATCATTCCTGTCAAATAAATACCATGATTCAGTTTGACTGGATTTTTAAACATGACATATATTATAAAATTATGTCTGCTTAATGCATTTAACCCGTTGACTCTGGACAACTTACAACTGAAAGTAAAATAAAGTCAAAAGACAAATAACAGACCAGAAGCAGTTTGAAGAAAACATATAAACCCCAAACTCCACCCAATAGGGACTCAACCATTACCCTGCCCAAAGCCTGAAAGTGCAGTCTGATCTTTAACTTCTTGAATGTCATCAGATTGAACACCAACCAGTTCTCAGAGGGTTTAGTATTTCCAATCTAAATTTCCAGATGATGCCCAGAACTAAGAACAATCTAGGCATGAAGCATTGTTACGTTTTTAAGAATTATTTCTTAAAAAGCATGTATCCAAACTTATTTGCACGTATAGTTTTTGTTAATAATGATTTGTCCTTAACTTTTGATTTTATAAAAAAAGGAACAAATAGAAATGTTTGATAATAGCTATTGATATGATTTTATAATTATTATTTTCAATAGTTTATATATTTAATTGATTATTGGATTTATCTCTCTACGTCTCCCTTATTTTATATTTGCTTCTTCACATGGACCGATCTCTCCTTTTTAGAGCTTTTAAGGTTAGGAGGATTGAAGTTATAGATAAACTGTATGCATTTATTAATCAACTTTTCTCTTAACCAGGACAATTTAGCTATGGTATGATTTTGTTCCATAGGGGACAAATCATTAAAAATGTTTATAAGTTCTATTTCTTCAGGAAAGGAATTCCTGTCTATTATTGGATTGTGTCAATTAATCTATAGGGATTACAGAAATATTCTTACAACATCTAGCTATTCAAGTTCTTTTGCCTGAAGGAGACATTTAAATTGATAAACCGTCTATCTTATTCACAGAGTCAAAAGTTACCAGTGGTCTTGCTGACACAATATTATAATACAAATATTCCATTTTTAAAGTATCATCTGAAGCAAGATGAAAATTTGAAGAAGACTCCCCAAATGCAATCTGTGTTCCATCTATGAGAAGGTGATTTTGGAAAGTGCAATGGGATAGCCATAAATCAATTTAAACTGTGTATAAGTTGTGGCTAATTCAAAATACTGCACATTATTAATAATGAACAGAACAATATCATATTTACATCAGCTATTTAAGATTAACTTTAAAAACATTTAACTTTGAACAAATTTTGCTTAAACATAAGTGAAATTATCTCAACATCATCCTAACAAAATTTTAAGTTTCCACAAGAGATCCAGGGTATATATTAAAGTTAAATGTGAACATTATATTAAAGTTAATTACATGACTTGTAGCATTTCCTTTGTAGAAATTGTTTTCTTTCTAATATCTCGAGGCATAGCAGTAAGCATGGTGTTCAGTTTTCTTACTGCCTAAAGATAATAAAAACAGGTAATTAAATATTAAGCATATTTTAAAAACTCAGTGTAATGCCCAAAACACCTTTAAATACCTACATAATGTAATGAAGGAGGTTTTAGTTTTAATTACTGTGCTTTTCAAGAGTTAGTTGTGCTACATGCAATTATATTTCCTAGCACAATAAAAGCAATCAATGGAGCGAAGGGAAGACCTTTCCTTACAAGGGAAGTAATTTTTAACACAATCACAATTACCATCTAAACCAGGGGTGTCCAACCTTGGCAACTTTAAGACTTGTGGACTTCAACTCCCAGAATTCCTCAGCCAGCTTTGCTGGGAGTTGAAGTCCACAAGTCTTAAAGTTGCCAAGGTTGGACACCCCTGATCTAAACAAATGTATTGAAAAATAAACCGTGGAATTGAAATCAATGGTTACCAGAATCAATGCTGAGCAGGAGCAGAGGTGGTATTCAGCAGGTGCTGATTAGTTCTGGAGAATCGGTAGCGGAAATTTTGAGTAGTTCGGAGAACCAGCAAATACTACCTCTGACTGGAGATTTTACAGTATCCTTCTCCTGCCACGCCCACAGAACTGGTAGTAAAAAAAATTTAATCCCACCACTGAGCAGGAGGTAGTATCAAGCCTAAGGTTTTGCTCTGCGGGGTTTCTCAGGGCTCAACATTCTTACCTCTATTTAATATTTACAAGAGACATATCTCAGTGTCGACCTCCAACTGTCTGAGGTTAGGTATAATCAATATACAGGTAGTCATTGACTTACAACAGTTCATTTAGTGACCATTCAAAGTTCCAAAGGCATTGAAAAATGTGACATGTTTTTCATAGTTATGACCCATGATCACATGATCAAAATTCAGATGCTTGGCAACTGACTCATATTTATGATGGTTACAGTGTCCCGAGGTCATGTGATCACCGACCTTCCAATAAGCAAAGTCAATGGGGAAGCCAGATTCTCTGAACAACCAGGTTATCAACTTATCAACTGCAGTGATTTATTTAACAACTGTAACAAGAAAAGTCATAAAATGGGGCTAAAACCCACTTAACAAATGTCTCACTTTGCAACAGAAATGTTGGGCTCAATTGTGATCGTAAGTCAAGGACTACCTGTACTGATAACACCCAGTTGTACATCTTGGCCTCTGGCTTTACCAAGTGATGCCATCAAGATTCTGTCATAGTGTCAAGAGGTTGAGTGTTGAGATCTGGATGGGAAGAAACAGCCTGAGGCTCAATCCTAGTAGGACTGAGGAATGGAGAGTGCAGGGTTTTCCAGGGACTCTCCAGCTTTAGTTTCTGGATAGCACTACATTTCTCTACATGTAACCTATGTTTTGAAAGTCCTCCCAGCCCTGTAGTTCTGCTCAAAGCGGTAGTAGTAATGGTTAGAAGGATCTTCACAAAGTTAACTTCTCTATAAGTTGGGCTTTCCTGGACAGGGAGGACCTTCTCACTATCACTATCACTTAGGCTCTGTTATTTGGATTACTGTTAACACCCTTTATTTAGAACTGCCCTCAAGACCACATAGAAACTACAGCTAGTATATAATGCAACAGCGCAAATAGTTATGGGCACATTTGGTACACCTGTATGAGACATCTTTATCTGCAAGTTGCACTGACTGCCAGTTGGTTTCCAAGTGTAATTCAAGGTGCTGAAAGTATCTGTAGAGTTCTTTGTTGCTCAGGACCTAGATATTTGGAGGCCACCTTTCTTTCATTGTTTCTGGACACTGTTTAAGATCATGAAAGCTCAGTGTGCTCTGAGTTTCAATTGACAAAACAATGACATATTATAGGCATACCATCTCTGTTGTCATGCCTGCCATCTGGGACAGGATTTCTCTTGAGGTCCATGTGATCCCAAGTCTGCTATCATTCAGAAGGCCTTAAAAGTTGGCTCTTCCAGACACTTGCCCAGAGTAATACTGTGAAGTTACTGCAGCGGAATATAATTTTTGTCTTCCCTGTGTATGATGGTTTTGTCTTTTTGTTTCTTTCTTGTTATTATGATCTGCTTATTAAACTTTTTGTTTATTACCTTAAACTACTTTGCAGTTGGGCAGCCATAGGTATTGGACAAGTAAATAGATGCATCTAATGCAATAGCATTGTTTTGTTTCTTTTTATCCCACTTTTCTTATTTTTATAAATGACTCATGGTGTTGAGCGATACGTGATAAAATACAAATACAAAGTTTCAAATTATGTACAGCTAGTCTTTAACTTACAACCACAATTGAGCCTGGAATTTTGGTCGTAAATCATGGGTTCGTAAGTTCAGTCATCATGTGACCAGAGTTGATTTTATGACAATTTTTACGATGGTTGTTAAGCGAATAACTATGGTCATTAAGCAACTCATAGGATCATAAGTCCATATCCAATTTAACCAAGAGGAGTTTTTTTGCTGGATTGTGATCATGTGACTGTGGGTCACTGTAACTGGTGCTAAATACAAGCTTGCTTGCCAAGTGCCTGAAATGCAATCATGGGATTGCTGAGGTGATGTAACAATCATAACTTCAAGGATGTGTCACAAGTAACTTTTTTCAAGTCTGTCATAACTTCAAATAATTGTTAAGTGACTGGTCGTATGTCGAGAACTACCTATATAGTACACAGGTGTTCAGAAAGATGAATATTTAGATACTAGAAATTATAGAAAGGTACAAATAGGTAAATAAAGTACATTACTGAATGAATATATCTGTATGGTTAATTTAAATCAACACAGTAGGGTTTTAAAAAAATAGATTTCCTCTTTTCCTAACATTTAGAAGTGAAGCTTGAGTGCTAGATAAATGTATCTAATATCCTATTCAAATATCTGAAACACAGAAAATTAATATTGCAATTAAAACATAGCAAGATAGCTAATTCAAAGTTTAAAAGCCAAGAAAGATAATTTTAAAAAGAATTCTTACCTCCTGCTGAATATAAATACTAATTCTCTTATCAGCAGAAAGAGCGCTTATTCGCAATAGGAAATTTTCAAGTGTTTGAATTTTACCTAGATGAAAATATAAGGCATTATTTACAGAATCATATAATTAAACTTCAGAGGCATTCACGATCATTGGTATAAATGAAAATTCAAGATAAAATAGGTGCATTTAAATTAAAAAATCATTGTGTCATAATTGATTTTCAGACATACCTTCACTGTTGGTATCATGTACTATCTACAATTAAAATAAACAATATATTAAAATTGCTCTGCACACAGAAAATAACTATTATACTCTAGTCCTGGGTAGCACATGCCACACTGTTTCAGAAAGTTTTTCAAAAAATAATAAATAATGCATTCTTTTGGATATACATAAATAGGACCTATTCTTTTTGAGATTAATGTAAAATGAATTCCTAAGTGTTATAATCATCATCTGCATATGGTAAGAATTGAAATTAAATACATACTTTAAATTGTTAATCTTAGTCCATCTTATTCTAGGCATATCAATGAGGAAAAATAAAGCCAAATATGAAAAAAGCTTTTCAAAGTAATGTGAATATTAAATTTATCACATAATTTGTGAAAGAATATATATGGGATATATTTACCATTAGGACATCAAAGAAATCTTCAAAGAGAGTAGTAAATGCCTCATTACATTCACAGTCTTTTTTTTTCAAAATCTCTTTGGCCTTTTCAAACCAATTAACCATGTACAAAAAGAAAATAAAAATTGTACAATTACTATGGCTATACGTTCATTTCTACAAAAAATAATTGCAGAATAACATTAACAATAATGTTAAACCATTAAGCAGTCAAACAAATGCAGATAACAAACCTATGCAGACCTGTTATCTATTGTAATTAGTCTTAGAATTATTTTCCAATATTATATACTTATCTTTTGAATAAGACCATATTCAATCATGGCTGGAAATCCAACTTCACCTAATATGTTAATATTTCTGCCATGGTTCTGAAGAGTATTCAACAAAGTGGAAACATTGTTAACTTCTTCACTGTCAAGTTGCTGAAATTTTTAAAAAGTGCACATAAAGAAAATCAAGACTTGTTTCAGTTTTGATGCAAAAATACAATACAATAACAAAATGTGGCATCTGAATTCTACAGCAATTATATACTATTTTAACAAGTTTTTCAAATAAATATATGCCTGCACATCAATAGAAAGTTTGCTATCAAATCTGCAGAAAGTTGTTGTTTAAATTTGTACCATGCAGAGATTGTGTCAGGGAATTTATTAAAAATACAATTTAACAAGGAATGCCTAAACTGTATAACTGTATGTGAGTTTTGAAATTTTGTGACTATCAAAATCACATTATAGACTGCTATAATAAAACTATCCTGTTTTCAGAGCACCATCTTTACAAAAAGCAAAAAAAAAGGAATGAAAAAGGCACAGGGAATGTGAACAGAGGGGGAATACATGTAAGTCCTTGACTAACAACAATTCGCTTACTGATCAAAGTTGCAATGGCTCTGAAAAAAGTGACTTATGACCATTTTTTCACACTTATGACTGTTGCAACACCCCCAGGGTCATGTGATCAAAATTCAGTCACTTGGCAACTGGCTCATTTAACATACGTCTCACTTAGTAACAGACATTTTGGGCTCAATCGTGGTCATAAGTCAAGGACTACCTGTATTTATTTTCCCTTCATCCTGCTTTGCTGGAATAATGTTAGGAATTGTTCAGATCAGTAAAAATGTATCTGCTTTAATGACTTGGGAAGAGATGCACTATATACACTTCTGCAAAACATACCTTTAAAAGAATTTGCACAGCCCTGAGTTTTCCTGGTGGGTCAGAATAGAACACAATAACAGAGTTGGAAGGGACCTTGGAGGTCTTCTAGTCCAACCCCCTGCTCAGGCAGGAAACCCTATACCATTTCAGACAAATGGTTGTCCAATCTCTTCTTAAACACTTCTAATGTTGAGAATTCACAACTTCTGGAGGCAAGTCATTGATTA